TTATTGTTTTGATTTAAAAAAATTTTAAGTCCAGCACGGGGCCCCGCACTCGCGACCCCGAGCCGGCCAGGCTTCACGACGGTTCCTGACGTCTCGGAACCTGCTTCCCCAGAAAGCTGGGGAGAAAGTGGCCATGGCTCAAGGCACGTCTTGAGTAAAGTGTGTCTCGAATTTAGGGGACAGTTTTTAAACCCCGCACGCATTACACATTTAATATGATGTTTAAAAATTAGATTTTTGTATCAAGGCAGAGGTGGGGCTGTGAAATACTGTAATGAAGAGAGAATGGTGTTTACTCCCCGTCATTAATCCCGGGCTTCTAGAAACTTCTTCACACACTGCCTCTGTGGTGCATGTAGTGTTGTCATTCTCATGAATATAACTAACGCTTATGAAGCACCCATGTTCATGATCTCGTTCGCTGCTCATCACACAGCTCATCCCCTGACCCTAACCAGGCCAGGCAGATGAAGCCCTGCTCCTCAGATAAAAGGACGCTGCTTTCTGGAAGCTTCCTGGCGCTGAAGCATGTCCGCAGACCTGTCTGGCTTACTGACCGCTGAATCGCTGAGGTCAGACGAGCCCCGTGATTCCCGTCTACCGTATAGACGCGGCGGCCGGGGCCCAGAGCAGGGACACGCTGTGCCCACGCCACGCGGCCAGTGAGGGGCCGCGCCAGGAGCTGACTCAGCTCAGTGTTCCCGGAGGGCCTGCACCCTGCACCGTCCTTAGACGGCTCTCCTGACTTCCTCAGGAGGATGCAACCCACACATTCATTTCATAAATATTTATTGAACACCGACGTGTCAGATGTCAGCGATTCAGCAGCGAACAAGCCCGACAGGTGTGGTTGGGGCGTGATTCAGCCGTGACCCTGGAGCTGAATCGTAGCCAAAAGAGCAGGAATCCATGGGGCTGGCCCGGGGCGAGGAGGGGGCAGGTTGGGGCCGTGGGATGAGCTGTGAGAACAGCATGTGCAGGAGGGAAGAGCTTTGGCACAGCTCAGAGCTGCCGGCCGACAAACGCAGTGCTGAGATTCATCTTCCTGGCAGACTCTCCCAAACACGGGCAGAGCCCTGGTGGCGTGACGCACGGAGCCCCACACGCACTCCCTTTCTGTCACTTGCTCCCGAGAGGCGGGGTTGGGGGTGGCCTTGCCCAGGAGGTAACCCTGAGGAGGCGCCATTGCTAGATTGGGAACACGGGGGTCTGCTGATCCCCTCCGGGCCCACACAGCCCCAGCGGGGCAGCGGGGAGGCTGCAGAGCGGATACCCCGGCCATGGGCTGACAGTCCCCCACGCTTTCAGAAAGCTGGATTTCACGTCTTGGTTCCGCCTCCAACGGGTTGCACGGCCTCACCAACACCAGGCAGTGTCTCTTGGACTCAGTTTTCTTTCCTGTAAAATGGGGTCAGAAACCGCCACCTCCCTGGTGGGCTCCAGGTACGTTTAGGGGCCCTGGGCAGTGTTGTAGGAAGTTGATTCCCTGTGGCTTTCGTCAGCCAGGCTGGGGTCTTGCCACGGGCCCTGGGGCCTGAAAGCGTCATCGGTCCCCCTCCCCACCTCCCTGGGGGCCTGACATCCGGCCTGTTCTCCGGAGTCCTGTCTGTACGGTCACGGGCTTGGGTTTGTAACTGTGGCAAAGGAGTGCAAGAGCTTCCGGAGAGCGTTTCGGCTGCGCTGTTCAGCGGTCCGCGACGCGTGTCTGCAGCCACCGGAGACAGGCCGGGCGTGACAGAGTGGAGGAGGCCTTCTCTAGAAATGAGGTTTGCCCTTGGCGAGCCTCGGAGAACCGGGGCTCCAAAGAGTGCTCTTCAGAGAGCATCCGTCGACGTCTGGGGTCAGAGGTCAGCTCGCCACGTCGGAGTCACAGGCGGCAGCGATGCAGGGAGGTTGGGTGCGTGCAGGCCCGGTAATGGAGGCGTGTTTTGGTGAAAGGTCACCATGATGTAAGGTTGTAGTCCCCTGGGGGTGACACACAGGTGTCTTCTAACCGCCAGGAACCACCATCTGACCTGCAGGCCAGCGTGGATGGGGCTGCCGTGGGGCCCCCTCCCCTGCAGGCTGGTGCCGGGCACTCCAGGAAGCCCACTCTCGGGGAGACGGCAGCGTAAGGAAAGGGTCCTGGGGTGGGATGGGCTGCATCCCAGCGCTCAGTTTCTGCTCACCCACTGTACAACTTTGGGCTCTTCCGGACACTGCAGAGGCCTCAGTCTCCTCTTCTGTAAAATGGCAGCAGTAGAACCCAAGCCTCTGGATCATCAGGTGGGTGAGATGAGAAATCCAGGGACTGGTGTGCAGTAGGTCTCCCTCAGTGTCAGCCTCCCCAGTCGGTCCGTCGGGGACTGTACTTGTCCCTGGGAAGCCCCGAGCAGCCTCGGACAGTGCACGCGTCTCATATAAGAAAGGGTTTAAATTGTCTGATGGTGGGTGGGAAAGGGGCTGGAGTGTCTAGGCCCTAAGTTCTGGTTAAGCTGTTGGGGCGGCAGAGGCTGGAGGGGCCGCGCAGGCCCAGGGTGCTGGTGATGCCCCTGGGAAGTGGGCCTTGGCCTCCTGATTTACCTTGCACCCCCCCCACCTCCTTCCCACAGCGGCCAGTGGGGTATTGGGACCACAGTCCTGTTCATCCAGTATTTTCTCATACTTCTGGAGGCCTGAGCCCCCGCTGTGGGCAGGGCTGCTGTCCCCTGAGGCCTCTCTCGTGGGCTGTAGACACCGCCTTCTCCCTGTGGATCCTCCCTCTGTGGGTGTCTGCATCCCAATCCCCTCTCTTATGATGACAGCCGTCAGATTGGATCAGGGTTCACCTAGTGACCTCATTTTAACTTAATGACCTCTTTAAAGACCCTGTCTCCAAATACAGTCACATTCTGAGGTTCTGGGAGTCAGGACCCCAGCCTGTGAATCTGGGGGACCACAGCTCAGTCCAGAGCAGCACCGTGCAGGGTCCCGGGAGGAGAGCCTCTGGCCACCTCGTCCTCATGGTTCTGCTAAAGCCTTTGGTGTCGTCCTGCAGCCCAGACTTAGCAGGAGCGGCATGATCTGGGCCTCACTCCTACCCAGCGAGGACCCCCAGGTCCCCTGAGCTCTCGCCAGGCCAGGCCACTCTCAGAACCAACAGTGCGATGGGCATGCTTCCCCTGCGACGCTGTGAGTGGCATGACCCAGGGCATATCTGTGTTTCCCGGGTGGTGACTGGCTGAGGTGAGGCCAAGGAGGCCCTTGGAGAAATGTCTCATCTCCTGTCCTTTGTGTTCTCTGTGGGGAGCGTGTGACTAAACCCCAGAAACGGTGCTCCCAACTCAAAAGCTGCCCTTGAGGCTTTACAAATTCTCTGTGGGGCCATGCAGACAAGGACCAGCCTCCAAGTGCTAGGCTCAGGCGGCCCCATCAAGTGCACAGTGAAGGCGGCTTGTCTTGTCTTTTGGAATAAGGTCTCACCAGTTCAGGAGAACACGCCGGAAGGATGCACATGGAACCAGCAATTGCTTCCTTGTCTTTTCATGCTTCGGCATTTTGTTTTGTTTTATTAATTGAAATTTTTAAAAACCAGAGACGTCCAAAGGATAGCATGGGCTCCCCACCCAGGTCCGGCCCCTGCGCCCACCCTCCTTGGGCTACCGCTTTGCCGTTCCTCCCAACTCAGCCTGTCCCCCTAAAGTGAACAGAGGTGGACAGTTTGCCCTATCTGCTTGAGATTTTAAAAATACAAATAATATGTTAAAGATCGAGATGAGGTCCCTCATATTCTCCTTCCCAGTTCCCCATCCCTCACCCTGGAGTCAACCAGCACCACGAACTTGGTCTGGTTCAGGTGTGGTTTTACTATATAAACACCCCTATGTACACATATGTACACACAAAGAGACACATGTATATGTGTGTATTATATATGTGTACGATATGCACATGCAATATACACATATATGTGTGTGTGTCTGTATCCATGTGTACCTGTAAGTTACACAAACTGTGGTCCGTATGTTTTAAAGTTGGCGTAAATAGGACCATTAGTGTTATATTCTCCAGCTTACTTTTCTAACCCAACACTGGATTTGGGACTTACGTATGCTGACATTCACATGGCTCTAGGTTGTTCCTTTTCCCTGCTGTGTAATACTCCACCCGACTGCCCCACCGTCTATTTACCTGTCCCCCCATGAGAGTCGTTTGAATGGTGCCCACTGGTGATTTAAGCCCCACCCAGGCTTTAGTCCAGTGGAACAGTTGAGTCCTAGGAGCAGTTCTGCTTCATGCCTTCGGGGGTACCTGGCCCTGAAGCTGCTGAGGCAGAGAGTGCTGCAGACCCCGTGCCGTCGTGACGCCCCGTGGGTGCTCCGTGACGTGGGTCTCTGCTCTTGCTGCGTCACCGAGGGCAGTCCAGCGTCAGTGTCTTGGCATCTCCGTCAGCCTGGCCTTCTGCAGCTGGGAAATGTTCATATATGGCAGTGCGACTAATCTTGGAGAGGAGTCGGGACCGCAGGGGTCTGCATTACTGGTTTGATTCCCAGTGGGGCAGGCGAGCGCACACACGGCCTTCTGTGCCGTCCCGTCCCCGGGACTCTGCCCCAGAGGGAACTCCCCGGAGGGAGGCTGCGTCTCATCCAGTCCAGAGAATGCCGGGCCTCCCTGCTGGATGGTGGTTATTTTTGTCTGAAGCTCGGTCAGGACCCTGGAGAGTTGCCAGGGTCAGAGTGGGAACTGCCCGGTTCCCATGGCTCCTTGGCTCCACGCTCAGCCTCACGCTCTGCCTCCCTGCCCCTCCGCGCCGTGCCCCTGCCGATGCCTCTGCTGGATGTTGTCTTGCAAACCTAGCCAACTCAACTGATGAGAGCGGGTTGCGGCTCGTGTGGGGGAAGACCGAAGGAGCCTTGATGGAAGGACACGGCCCCTTGGGGTCCCAGGCGGGTCAGCACCCTGGCGGGGTTCCGCAGCCCCTTCTTCCAGCTCTTCGCCCGCGGTCAGCGCTGCCCCGCAGGTGGGGACTGTGGTTTTCCTCGTCTCTCGCCCCAGCCCGAGTGGGAGCTCCCCGGGGCAAGGCGCAGTGTCTATAGCACAAACTAGATGCCCAGGAAAGCTCCCGTGACTGACGGACTCTCCCTTGGAGGTGAAGCAGAGGTGAGATGTGTGAATAAACACACTCTTTCAAGCCCTGCCTTGTCCTCTCGGACACTCTGTGACCGTCTAGGGAGAGAGGAACCAGGGTAGCTCCACCTCTCCTGTCTGTGGGACCTCGGTTACTGAGCTTCTGGGAGCCTCGGTTTTCACGTCTGCAAAGTGGGGAGAGGGATAGCTGTTCACCGCTCAAGCTCACACTGGAGCTGGTTTAAGACTGATCGACTTCTCCCCCCACTGCCCTCTGCTTTCCTTCAGAGCTTCTGCGCCCCAGCGCTGCCTCAAGAGCCCAGCCTGCTTGGTCCCCCTGGTCCTCGCTCCCTGCGTGGTGCCATGAGCTGTGTCCTGAACAGAGTCGTCCCCTTGGGGCTGGTGCTGCTGGTCTGCGGAGCCCAAGGCTTTTTCCTGCCCAACGTCACCCACTTGGAGAAGCTGCTCAGCAAATACCAGCAGGACAAGCCCCACTCCCGGGTCCGGAGGGCCATCCCCAGGTCGGACAAGGAGGAGATCCTCATGCTTCACAACAAACTGAGGGGCCAGGTGTACCCCCCAGCCTCCAACATGGAGTACATGGTAAGCGCTTCATCCAGCCCCATCCGCCGCCCTCCTCCGTCTGAGCAGCAATGGGGCCGAGTCTGTGAGAGCTGGGGTGTCTGTCAGCGAGGGGCTGGCAGAGAGGGTACAGTGGAGGGTCTCCCGTGAGCCTGGGGAAATCCCATGCGTAAGGAGCAGAGGGGCAGCTGGCCCTCCAAGCCCATGCCTCCGGCCCCACATCCACGCGCACCCCTCTGTTTCTGCCAGGACCGCTTCCCGTCCTCCCAGCCCTGTGACACACTTGCTGCTTTTCTCCCATTTTATAGACTAGGAAACTGAGGCCCGAGGTCAGAGACGGTAGTGGCAGAACGGACCGCAGGACCCAGGCTCGCAGCCACCATCCCGCGCCCAGTTTAAACCCTGGCACCCCCACTGCCCCTGCCCGCTTCCTGTCTGCCCAGCCTGTCCCCCCAACACCTCGATCAGCCCTGGGGCTTCTCACCTCCCACGCTGTCCCCTGCTGGCTCGCCCTGAGCCCTGCTTCCTGCGCCCTTCCTGACCTTCAGCAAGCCTGTCTCCTGCTCAGGAGCCTCAGGGCCCTCTGTGCCCAGGATGGAGCCCAAATGCTCCTGCCTGGCGCTGGAGGCCTTCAATCACGAGCTCATCTGTCCTGAGAGGCCACTCGGTGTTCCCCGAAGATGCCACCAGGCCCTCCCTCCCCCAGGAGTCCTGTCCCCACCTCGTGCCTTATCCCGTCGTAAGCAAGCCTCACTCAGGACCCAGCTCCTCTCCCTCCTCTGGACTCTACTGTCCCGTTTCATGGTGCCTTGGGCTCTGATGTAGGTGGTGCTCATGATCAGGGAGCACCCCGCGTGCCTGGGAGCCCCTCAGTGTCGCCGTCTCTGCCCTCACGAGGTGGCCCGTCACCGGCTATAGGGCAGATGAAAGGCTTGCCCTTCTGGGCAAACACCCTCGGAAGCAAGGCTGTCCTTTGGGAACTCGTTATGAAACCATTTCTTCTTTTCCTCAAGAACATGGCCCAGGCATTTACTCTGAAGGGGTTGTGCTAATCTTAGGAAGAGCGGGCACCCTTTCAAAATACTAATGCATCAGCAGCTGGTGCAGGCCTTTTTAGGGTTGAAGACGTAGAGAATTAGAGTAGAATTCTTGGTGGCTTTCGGTGTGGACTCTTCCCCCATCCTTCCTGACACCTGGCCCGGTCCCCGGGGGGGAAAGGACACTCTCCACCTCTCTGTATAGGTCGGCCTTCCTCCTGGGCCGCCTCCCACCCCAAGGCCCTATATGGTGCCCAGCAGGGAGCAGGGAGCTTGACTGAGCCCCAAACCCCGGGGATCCTGGCTGCTTCCTGCCTCCTATTGGGAACAGGCTCAGTTTACGCTGGTCTTCACGTCTCCACTCTGTGCTTGTCCAGGGCTGTATGGAAGATTCGGTGCAGTGAGCAGGGCTCACATAGGCAGCAGGGAACGTTAGTGCAGCCTCTCACGAGCCTGCCATGCTTTCCTGTCTATTTTGTGTTATTTCAGGGGTGGAGCTGGGATCTGGGTCCTTAGGTCTAAATGGCTTGCCTGTCAGGGAAGCTGGGCCTTCGTTGGTGGTGTTGGCGATGCCTCTGAGCAGGGGCCCCGAGGCAGGGGAGGTAGCACGAGGCGCAGCCCCTCCACCCCAGGCCTGCCTATCTGTTCTGGTCTCCACCCAAACAAGGGGCACTCATCTGAGAAAGTATCTTGAAAATCCAGCTTCCTGCTCAGCCGTGCCTGCTGGGGCTCCAGCCGTGGTCCTTTTGAAATAGCCGTAGCCCTGAAAGGCGGACATTAAAACTCCAAAGAGTCGAGACACCCTATTCTGAGGTTTTATAGGTGGATGGACTCTGGAGCCAGCCTGCCACTTGGTAGCTGGGTGACTTCAGGCAGATTAGTTAGTCTCTTTGTATTAATGTCTCCTCACCTGCACAATCGGGGACAATAAAAGTACCTTTCTCATAGGATTGTTCGGAGGAGTCGATGAGATAACGCCTAAGTGCTAAATAAATGTTAACTATACTGTTGCTGTTACTATTTTAGTGACTTATTATTTTAGTGGAGTGGGACCAGCCCTTGGTGACAGCATGCAGAGCAAGATGAGACCCCTGGGAAGCCAGATAAAGCTGGGTTGTTAAAGTTCTAACTTCCTGCTGTTTAACCTTCGGCAAGTTACCTAACCTCTCTTAGCCTCAAGGGTTTTTTTTTTTGTTTTTTGGGTATTTTTGTCTGCAACAGTGGGAAAATATAACTTAACCTCAAGGGCTTATTCTGAGAATTAAATAAGAAAGTGGTGCTAATAATGTTCTCTGGCAAGTGGCAGGTGTTCAGGTACAGGGCCTGACCCTGCCCCTGGCACATAGTAGGTGCTTGAGAAAGTTAATTTCCTTAATATCCAGGTACTGTTTACTGAGAGCTGCTCGGCACCTCGCCTGGGGGCTTGATGCCTGCTCATTCAACCTTCCCCCACATCCTGTTCTGGCGACATCATTAGCCCAGGTGGGGAAACAGGTTCAGAGAGGTGAAGCCGCTTGTCCACAGTCACACAGCCAGCAAGGGGCAGAGCCTGGCCCCACACTCTCACCAGTGCCCCCCACTGCCTGGCTCTTTCCCTCTTTCTTGCCCCAGTCCTCCCTTTGGGGGGTAGAGAATGTTCACCTGTGCCTCTCTGAGGTCCTACTATGTGCCAGGCACAGCTGGAGCCAAGAGAAGGGTGGGAGGTGAAGGGTGGGAGGTGCAGGGCGGGCCCAAAAGGAGGCCTCGAAAGCAGGGAGGGGAGAGCTAGGTCCTTGTTTGGCTGCGTCCTCTACCTCTAGCCAGAATTTCGGAAGCCTTAACCCCCAGAGATCTGCCAGGGCCCTCCCTACAGCCATCCCCGCTGAGCTGTAGAAAATGTTATGGACGCGGACCAAAGGCACACAAGGTTCACGTTGATCAGAATAAATAGTGAACTTCTGAGAAGCTAGTGAGCCTCGGGGTGGGGTCAGCGCCTGCACGCACTCTGCCCTGCCTCCCTGGACTCTGGGAAGGGCCTTAGCTGGCCATGGCCAGAGGGATCTTGGTGTTCCCTCCTGTCCCCACTGCCCTCCCCTCGCAGTGGATGGTGTCTCTTCCTTCATGGAGCATCAGCGGGTGCTTGCTTGGAGATGGAGCCACCAAGTTGGTTCGGGTAGTTTATCGGGGAGGGGGTGATGCACAAGTCCAGAAGACAGGAAGGAGGAAGTCCAACATCACGGTATACTACGGGGTCTCCCAGTGGGAGCGGGGGCTTGGATCTGCTAAGTAAAGAGAGCAGCAGGAGGATCACCCACCCGAAGGCAGCCTGTCCCCTCCCCACTTCAGGCTGTCCCGGGCTTGGGAGAAGGATCCCAGGCAGAAGGGACACAGTGCTTGGTGGGCACGTCAAGAGAGGAGTCTGATGTCCGAGTGTACCCAGAACATCCACTGCAGCCGAAACGGGGGCTGCATCCAGGGGTGTGCCCCAGGTCCACAGAGGCGTCTGCCCTAGGCCAGGACTCGCCCTGGATGTTCCGCAATCTCCGGCATTGAGGCCGGAAAGAGGCAGCTGGGCAGGAGGTTGGGGAGGTGCTCGGCTTCATGATGTTCCGTCCTGGGGGCCCGCAGTTAGCGCCGTCAGTGTCCTGTTCCCGGCCAGGTCCTGGGGCTCTGCCTGACCGTCTTCCCGTGAGCACCTACTGTGTGCCGGGGGCTGGGGCGCCCCCGAGAGGGAACAGCGCCTGCCCGCCTGGCGACTGGGAGGAGGACGGACAGCAGCTGACCGGAGGGCAATGAGCCCCCTGCTTTGTTCACCGTGTTCCTTCCCGGGGAGTTATGTGCGTTCCTGGGCTGGCGGGGAGGCAGGACGGGAGGTGCAGCCTGTTTCAGATCCTCTGGCCCAGACCCTGCCCTTGCCCCCCACCCCCTCCCCCTGGGTCCGGGTGGCCTGTGCTGCAGGAGAGCAGGATGGGCTGGGACGGAGGCATTTCTTGCTCCTTTTTCTTTTTAGAACAGTAAAATACACAAAACATAAAATTCACCCTTTCAACCACTTTTAAGCATACAGTTCTGTGGTGTTCAGCATGTTCACAGGGCTGCGCCGAGGGCACCCCCAGGCAAGGGGCTTGCCTCAGCATCCCGGCCAAGTGGGAGCCCAGAGCAGGACCTGCGAGGACCGCTGTGGGCTGGGCTGCTCTGAGTTCTTTGCGGCCCTGCCCCTCCCCGCTTACCGGGTCAGGAGCCCGTCCAACATCTGCGTGGACCCCAGTGTCCGAGAATGGAGACCTGGCCCGGGCTCCGTGTGGGGTCCACGCGGGGCCCGTGGCTGTAGGTTTCGTTCTTACACACCATCCCTGACCCTGGCGGCCCGTGTCTCCTCTCCCTGCAGACCTGGGACGAGGAGCTGGAGCGGTCGGCGGCGGCGTGGGCTCACGAGTGCCTCTGGGAGCACGGGCCCACCAGTCTGCTGGTGTCCCTTGGGCAGAACCTGGCCGTCCACTGGGGCAGGTAAGAGCCGCCGCGGTCCCCCCTTGCTTGTGAACTGGCCGCCCCTGCAGAGCACCTACTGTGTGCTGGGCTTGGTGCTCGCTGTCTGTAGTCACGTTTAAGTCCTCAGGATCCCCCGTGCCCGTCTGAATGTGGGGAAACAGGCTTAGTGCCCAGGGCCACTTCCAAGTAAGTGGCAAAACGGATGCGAAGCTGCTTGTTGGCTCCAGACACTGATCACCAGGCTCGGGGTTTCTAGCGTGGGGGTTCCATCCCACTTCCTTGAAAGGATTCTTGAGCCCGTTGCGGCAGGGAGCTGGCCGGGTGAGCTGGGAACACGGGGTGTTGCTTATGCAGTGCTGGTTAGAGTGTCTTCTCTGCCCCGGCACGTCTGGGTTCTGCTCCTTCTCCAGGTCCAGCCAGGTTCCACCTGGCGAGCAGCTGTCCCTCACCTTCCCCTCCTCGTCCGGCCATGGGGAGGCTCGCCCTCACCACCCAGGCCCCCTTGCCCGGAGGAGGCTCTTGAGCATGGTCTCTAAGATGCATGCACCTGAGCACCCACCCAGCTGAGGGCTGGTTTCCTTAGGGGATGTGGGGAACGTGCCTTCTCGCCAGTGCAAACTCATCAACCAGCCAGACAACATGCTGTGGACGCAAGTCCCCTGGGGCCGAACCCAGGGCTGGCCAGGAGCTCAAGGCCCACTTGTGCTTTGCCGGCATCATTGAAAGGTTGGACCGGACTTGAAGTATCCCCTCAAAGCACAGGGTGCCCGTCTTGCAGCCCAGATATTCCCCAGCTCCGTAAGCGCCTGCGTTCAGTGTGGCTGCCAACGGTCGGCTTCCTTTAGGTCAGTGCTTTTCCAGGACAGAACCTGAGCAGGTGTCATAAGGGGTCCAGACTTCACGGAAGTGAATTAACACCTGTTTTTTTTTTTTTGTCTTCTGGTGAATTCTGCTTTTTGTAAAATCAGTCTTCCGGTAGCATGAAAAGAAAATGTCTACAGGGAAAAAACCCATCATTCCTTTGGCCTGGCTTAGCAGCCAGAATATTCCTGGACTCCTGTGTAGCATCTGGCTGTGGGCCGGCATATTTTTACTTCGTGGTAACGGTGGCCAGGACAGCTTTTAATTCTTTCCCCCCTTCTCATATGGTATCAGACAGTTCTTCTATTCCGTAGCCGTCATGGTGATCATTGTCAAGGCTGCCTTCGGGCCATCGAGCCGAGAGCCCGAACGTTTGCCATTCTTGGATCTGGTCTTGCTGTTGCTGCATCAGGCTTAGTACTGGGACTGATGGTGCGGGGGGCACAGAGGGCTTGCCCCTGCGGGATGCTGAGTGCCGACCTGCTTTCCCAAAGAGCCCCCTTCGTTCTCCAGGCCCCTGCAGCAGCCTGGCCGTGGCACTCTGGGGGATCGGACGGGCACGGGTGTCCCCACACAGCCCGGTGGCTCCGTGGTTCCGTGGCTGCCAGCGTCCTTCTCCAAGCAGGCCCCGGCCACGTCACTGACCACCACCATGCGCTCTGGGCTCTGATGGTAATTGTTACAAGACCTCTAACTGCCCGGCTCACCACAGTGCTCTCAGAAACGGCCAGACCCCTCGTGTCTTCTCTCTCTATCGAAACCGCTTTGTTTACACTTGCTGGTGACGCTGACCAGTGATTTGTGTTCAGTTTATTTTCTTTCCTGGGAAGAAAGCAACGATGCCAACCTGGTGGATGGGGCTGAGCGAGGGGGCCGTGGCCACCCATGGTGATGACCAGGGTGGGGGTGAGGGAGGGCTCAGGGGATCAGATCCTAAATAGGAAGTTTTGGAAAGGATTTGCCCACGTGACACCAGGGTTCTGCATCCCTGCAGGTTTCTGCATCTTCAGTTCATTTTCTACCTTGTATCTGAGTCCTTGGGTCCCCCCACCAGCAGCTGAGGAATGAAGCCAGTCACGATGATAGAGAAATGTGAGCCTCTAGGCTCTTGTTTGGGGGTGATGGGGACCCATGTGCCCTGTCCCCCATAGCCGGCTATTTTGCAGCTTTCAGACCTTCCCCGGCGTCCCTTCTGTGCATTACCTGGACAGTTACTTATTCACTGTTTTCCTCTGCACTGACTTTAAAGGGACTCACGTTTTCAATCAAGTTGTGTTTTAACAATCATATCTGGGAAATCGGGGGTGCGTGGGCTACATGTATTTCCCCAAATGTACATGGGCATAAATACATAATTGTAATATAAACAATGACTCACTGGGGGCCAGGCAAATGTCTCCTGCACACACAGGTGGCGTGTGGGCCACCCAGGGAAATTCCTGGAACCCAGGCACTCCGGGGATGCCCAGGTGAGCTCCTTGCAAGTTTGGGTTATAGGCACTTACAGCAGGTGCTGGGCAGGATTTGGGGCTGTTTGCCCACAGCAGCCCCCTTCTCCAGCCCGCCCCGTGGCTGGCTGTGCCGTGAGCTGTGGTCTTGGTCTGTCGCGTGTGTGGTGGCCGGGACGTAACTAGCTGATCTGCCCTCTCAGGTACCGCTCTCCCGGCTTCCATGTCCAGTCCTGGTATGACGAGGTGAAGGACTACACCTACCCCTACCCCCACGAGTGCAACCCCTGGTGTCCGGAGAGGTGCTCTGGGCCCATGTGCACCCACTACACACAGGTAACCCCCGAGGCCCGAGCTGAGACCTCAGCCCAGCACCCCCAGACCCCATCACTCACCTGGCCCTGCAGGACTGCTGCCCAGTTGGAAAACTGCCCTGTCATTACCATAATATTTTCCTTTAAGTTGGTGTTACTTAAAGTACGGCTGTTGGGCTGAGCTTGGATTTGTGACATAAGCATAGAAACGGGCAGTAAGTGCTAGAAACTTGTATGGCAATTTTCCATCGCTAGCACACTTTCCTCGTGTGTGGTTTGTTTTTGTTTGGGTGTGTGTGTGTGTGTGTGTTTAACAAACATGGATCTTCAGGGGGTTAAGGAAAAAATCTGGTCCTTCACCCCTTCACAGCATACACCCCTTTAGCGCCAGCACCCTGGAGATCCAGGCCAGACTACGTTGCCCCTCTCTGCCTTGTCCCTGGCTCTGACACGTGGATGTCATCTTTTCAGATAGTCTGGGCCACCACCAACAAGATTGGCTGTGCTGTGAACACCTGCGAGAGGATGAACGTCTGGGGAGATGTTTGGGAGAATGCGGTCTACCTCGTCTGTAATTACTCTCCAAAGTAAGAACAAGGAACATGGTTGTATGGGTTGGGATGCATTTGCCTGGCACGGAGGACCCAACTAAAGTTGGCTTAAATGGTGAGGTCTCTTCATTGGTTCACACAACAAGACATCTAGACATTGATGCATCCAGTTCAACTTAAAAGCTCAGCAGTGTCAGTGAGGACTCAAGCTCTTTCTGTTTCCTTGCTGTACGAGCCTATCCTCGTGGTTCCAAGATGGCTGCAGAACATCGGGCATCACATCTTCCCAAACTCAAGGGAAGGGAATGGTAGAAAAGGGCTTTCTCTTGGGCCTTTCTCAGCCCTGGCCCACTTTCTCCCTATGTCATTGGCCAGAACTAGACTCCTCACAGATTCGGGGGGGGGTGGGGAGCACAAGATTTCCTTAATTGGCTTCAACCAATGAAATTGCCCAACTGGCTTTGCAAGTCATCTTCTGGGACTCCCTGAGCAAATCAGAAGCCAGAATAGCTGTTGGCTGGCCAACCAGCGGGGTGTGCCATAGCGATATTCTTTTTTTCCTCTGAAAATATGCAGCAGATAGCACTCTAGGAAACGTATACATGCTACACCTAGTTTTTGCGTTTTTATGTTTTCCCTTCTAGAAAAGGCCACCCGGAGCCTCTGTGTCTCAGCCCCTTTCCTCCTCACAGCATCCTGATATCATGAGTGTGCGATCTATCCTTCAGTTGACTCATTCACCTCCTTTGCTCATCAAATAATGTGCTGCTTCTTGGAGCACTGCCCTCCCTGGGTATGGCCTGTGGTTTGCATGCCGGCCATGGGGCTGGCCGTTGCCTAGCACCGGGCCCTGCACACAGTATGCCCTTGAGGCATATTTGCTCAGTGACCGAATGACATGAGGATGACCTCACTTACTTGGTTTGGGTCAGGAGTGGCCATGAGGAGGTGGGATGAGAAGGAATCGCTGAGGTCAGGAGGAAAATAGATGCTCTCCGTCAAGTGTCTGACAGCCCACAGGCCCGGCGTGAGGGCGGGCGGATGAGGTCATCGCTGCGGTTGGGGGGCTCGCCAGCCCCGTGGACGAGCCGTAACTGGCCCACGATGGTGGGATCCCCGGCAGAGTGGCCGCTGGGGCGTGAGGGATATTTTGATTCCACTCTGTATAAAAAAGAAAGAAAAAAAAAAACACCTGAAGATCCTATCAGAAACAGAGTTCTGCCTTTCTCAGCGCCCAGCTGTTTTCTTGAAAAAAAGAATAACGTATGGATGATACACACTAGTCTTAAGTGTGCGGCCCGATAAATCCCACATGTGTCTGCGTGGGCTAGCCGGCGCGGGCGGCCATGACCGAGGCCCAGGGGCTGCGCGTCTCAGGAGGAGGCACGGCGGGGCCGGATGCCGGCAAGTCCCTTCCTCCCTGTGTCCTCACGTGGCCTTTCTTCAGACTCCCTCGTGTCTCCTCTTTTAGGGACACTAGTCCTGGGGGATCAGGGCCTTATCCCGTGACCTCATTTCACCTCACTTACCTCCTGGGAAGCCCCGTCTCCGCACACAGTGCCCCCAGGGCTTCAACGCAGGAATTAACGGGTGGTGGGGGGAGATGCACAGTCAGTCCGTATAATACGTATATAGCCCTGTAACTACCCCCCAGCTCAAGATGGAGCATATTTCCAGGGGCCCAGGATGTCCCCCAGAGGTACCACCATCCAACATCTCTCTGCATTGGTCAGTGTCTGGTTTGGACCCTCACGCGAATGGACCAGACATGTATGCCCTTTCGGGCCCAGCATCTGCTCAACGCCGTGCGTTTGAGATTTGTGCGCAGTGTTGCCTGTTCAGTGGGCCGTTTTGATTGCTGTGTGGTATCCATGGCGTCTTTCCTCAAGAGTCCGAGCCCCTGGCCATGCAGGTCGCTGAGCCAGGCCCCCGACCTCCCTGAAAAGCCATCAGAAACGCCACCTGACAAGCTTGTTGATTCAGCAAACGCTCGCAGAGCACACGCCCTTCACCATGAGCAGGGCCCTGGTCTGAGGGCCCATCACTCTGTCACCACACAACCTCCCGATGGGGCCCCTGTTACAGAGAAGGAGACAGAGGGCCAGGGCTGAGGGCAGCGGTGGGGTCACACGGCAGGCAGGGCTGGGGTCCAACTTGGGGAGTCGCTCTGGACTGCTCAGCGGAGGGAGGCTGAGGGTGGCCGGGGCCGGGCTTAGCTTAGTAGCGGGGCTCTGGATTGCCTTCCTGAGTGAACAGATGGGTGACCATCCAGGTCAACCCCGAAGGAAGTTTCTAGAAGGAGTCACAGAGACTGTTCCCCGGTCACGCATGGCTCCAGCCTGTGTGCCAAAGGCCCAGGCTCTGGGAGAGGGGCTTGGGGATACTGCTCCGCACCTGCTACCTGGCTCCCGGAGAACCGGGCCCTGACCAGCCTCCAGTTTTCCTGCCTGGGAACTTCAGAGGGAGGTGGGACGGTGTCCATGACATCAGGAGGGACCTTGGTCCCAACCGCAAGGGCAGAGTGCTCAAAGGCTCTGAGCCCCTCCGCTTGCTTGCTGTGTGACCTTGGGCAGGTCACCTAACCTTTTTGAGCCCCAGTGGCCTCCTCTAAAAAAGGATGGAATTCCAGCACGTCCCTCCTGGGTGTCAGAAGGATGGGGGGACCTGGTTGTAGGAGCTTAGTAAACATGAGGTACTCCCTAGAACGTGCTGACTTTTACTCCTTTGAGAAACGGCTTAACAGGGGGAGCTCAGCAGCTTTCCAGTACAAAGGGGTTGGGGCTGGGGTGGGGGGTGGGGGACAGTGCTCAGAGTCGTGTAAGGCAGGACACGGGCAGATGTGGGGCCCGGGGGGTGGTAACACACACCCCAACACGAGGGGACCAAGGTGCTTGGGAGGAAGGATGTGTCACAGCTCCCGACCAGCATTCTTCGAGAATTCTCTAGGCTCCGTGCAGTTGCCTCTCCCCCTTTACCCAGCATACACACCCTCCTTCCTCCCCTGGATGGCCCAGGAAGGGGGAGAGGAGGGGCCCCCGGCCCTCGGGTGGCGGCCCCTCCTAATGGTGTGTTTGGTGTGTCCACAGGGGCAACTGGATCGGAGAAGCCCCGTACAAAACTGGCCGGCCCTGCTCCGAGTGCCCGCCCAGCTATGGAGGCAGCTGTAAGAACAACCTGTGTTACCGAGGTAGGAAGTGACTTCGAAGCCGCCCCGAGTGGCTGTCCCCTCTGTCTGTGGGTCAAACGGGAAAACGGAACACTGAAGTCAAGGCGCCCCCTCCCCCTGCTTGTGCAGCCGTGTGTGGTGGGCAGATCCCCCCTCCAGTCCCGGGGTTCAGCCCCCGGCTCCCTGGGGACACGGGGCTGCGCTGGCATGTCCCCCCAGGAGGCCTCTCCCGTGGCCACACCCTGAGCTGGGTGCTAGGCGCACCCGCGTCCCTGCTGTCATTGGCGTTCACGGCTTAAATACACAATAAACCAGACTGTGCCCGTCCCAGGTGACCTCCAGGCTGGGCAGGGGTGGCCTTTCTCCTTGATGGCCTCCTTCCTCCCACCCTGTTTGCCTCTTGCCGATGCCTCGCCTGGATTTGCCGTAAATGTTCACGGTTCCCTCCCCGCCGCAGCCTGGGCAGATGCCCCGCTTTCAGGGGCCGTGTATCTGCCACGTATCCTGCCCCTTGTTTCTAGTCGGCCTCTCAGGACGTTTCCACTGTCCCCGCTACTAGAAGTAACGTATCTGGGGCCTAAAGTGTTGCTCACGTTTTGCAGTATTTTCTCGGGCTCTGTCCCAGGGGGACGGAACTGGGCCCGAGGGGCTAACCAGGTGTTCGTGTTCGGGACGTGTTGTCCCTGTGGCTGCCCCGGCAGGCCCTGTGACAGCAGGGAGGGTCTCCCCGAGGCGCGGGCATGCAGGAGAGGGCGGCTCTCCACGCCGGGCTTTCCCTGTCAGTCCGGTGGGCTCTGGGGTACAGAAACGGGTGGGCTAGGGTCGGGGTCCCAGACCCGGTCGTGGCCCAGGGGCCCTGTTGTCTCGGCTAGCTGTTCACTGCTGGTTCTGCCCATTGTGGGGGCCAAGGGGCAGGAGGTGCAAGGATCCGGATGCGAGACAAACCTGTTCGTGCTGCTCCCTGGATCGTGTGTCATCCACGGGCAGTGGAGTGTCCAGGGGGCAGATTTCGAGGCTGGTTCTTAGACCCCTCGGTCACTCTGCCCCAAGACGGGCATGACAACACCAGGCTTCTGTTGGGTACGTCAGGCTCCAGTGAGGGAGTCCATGCATTCGGTATGGATGTGTTATATTAGCACCTGCCATGTGCAGGACGTTGCCAGGTGGTAATTGTGGGGATGATCATGGGACCTGACATTTAAGGCCCTACCCTCATAAGACTGGGGTCAAGTGGGGTCATGGCCATGAGCAGTGACATGTGTCTTCCCAGGGAGCTTACAGCAAGAGCATTGGCTGTCATCTGGCAGGGTCAGGGAAGGCCTCCTGAGCAGGTGGCCGTCAAGGAGGGAGATGCAGCCTCGGGGTGAGAGCAGGGGAGGGTGCTTCCCACAGGGGCCAGAGCACCTGCAGGCGCCCGTAGGTACGAGGGCGGCGTGGTCATGAGCCCCGGAGACAGGGAGGCTTGTTAACTGTAATTTCTCCCGTTGGCCCACCCCTCTTCTCTGTCTCCGAGGCGGGGCTCCACACGCTTGTCTTTAGTGAACCCCCCCGCCCGGATATCCCCGCTCCGAAGCCTGCATTCACGAGACACGGGGTCTAGAGCCCGGCACACCTGCTTTAGGAACAGCATGCCGGCCACATTCCAGCCGCGGGACCCTGGGCAGGCCGTCCTCTCTCTCTGAGCCTCAGTCTCCCTGCCTGGAGGTGGGGGTCAGGGCAGGACGAGATCGTGGGTGGAGGCTGGTGTCTGGGCCCTTCCCTGTGTCCCTGGCAGGCAGGACCTGTGGCTCCTGTCCAGTCCCCTGGGAGGGGCAAGTCCCCCGTCAGATCCCGAGTGCTGATTTGGGGACCGTGGGAGAGCGAGGCCTGTTGAGGCTTCTCCTTGGGTCTCCCGCTGTTCTTTGCTCCAGCCTAATCTCGTTGCAGGGCTGTTTTCAGGGCCCGTCAGCTCCTCCATGAGGGGCTCCAGGCGCACAAGCCAGAGCTGCTCGGGCTAGGGGTTGTCTCCGTGGTTATCGGAGGTGCGTACTCAGGCAAACTGCATGCTCTCTTTGGGCCTCAGTCTGCCCATCTGTAACAGTGGCAGTAAGAGTCCGTCTGTAGAAGCTTTGCTGGGAGGACGCAGAGAGAAGGATGTGGGTTGCTAACACAGCAAGCCACATATAGTGCCTTATAAACACACTGATTACCCTCTTGGAGAAGTGGGGGTGGGGAGGTATGACTGCACTTAGCACCTTGCATGGGGTCCTTCCTCACCTGGTGGGGACTGTAGGCCCTCTCCCTGCCTGGGGGCTCATCCATGTGGTGAACCTGGCAGATACCTTCCTCTCCTTGGAAACACAGCTCTGGTGTCACACCTCCTCCCGGGAGCCTTCCCTGACTACACAGGCAGTGCACCTGCTTCTGTGCTCTTTCTGCCCCCAGACTCTCCTGGAACCCTGATCACCTGTTGTTCCAACTGTCAGTTTGCTCTGAGGGCTCTAGGGTCATGGAGCAGCTGTGTTCTGCAGGCCATCTGAATGCATATGCTGCCCATACACACAGAGAGTCATTTTCAAAGAACACATGCACACAAAGACACCTCAGATGCTGGGTTACCCACCCAATGAAGCCTTTGTGCTTGTTTCTTTATTTTTGGTGGAAAACACCCAAGTCCCCTTGGCAGGCATCCCAGTTTTCTCAGCTAACCAGGAGGAAAGTCTCCCGTAAAGCAGCTTATCTGCATAAGCTACTTAATAAGCACCAACTGAGGGTGCCTGGCAAGGCCTTGACCTATAATGAAAATGGAGCAGAATTAAAGATAGACCGTTCGAGACGTTTCCGTCCCTCCAGCCTGAAACCGTGGAACCGTGTGGTGATCAAGGGTGTGGGCTTCTTGGACGGGCAGCTCGACACTCAGCTGTGTGAGCTTGGGCAGGTAGCTTAGCCTCTCTGAGCCTCGGTTTTCCTGTCTGTGAAATGGGGCTGATCAGGCCTCCTAGGGAGCGAGGAGAGCACACCAAGGAAGCGTCGAGCTGGCGGGGAATCATGCGGTGTGGGCCCCGTATACATTAGCCACAAGCTCTGTCCCCACCTACAGAACCAGGTAGGAACCTGCAGGCCGATGTAAGCAATGCCGTGGGGCCTGAGACCCCTGGTCCGGAGCTGGATGGTGCGCACAGTAACCTTGCGGTGAACTTGGGCATGGAATTTCCCCAGGCCTGCGCTGCTCCACACAGGGGATCTTAATTAGGATGTGCTCAAATACAGCCTATCCTCTGGGTAAGCATTCCACTTTTCATGTGTGTGTCTGAGGGCAAGGACTGTCTGCCCATTTTCTTAAATAGTGAGCCCTCAAATGCTTTAGATGGCTTTACCAAACTATATTCAGCTGAATAAAGCCACGATTATGAGGTATAAAAATCCTAAAGGCCAGTGGAAGAAAACCCGGCTCATTCCAGAGATAGCTCTGGCTTTTGGTGAAGGGCAAAGCTGAATGGCCACATTGACAGGAAGAGCAGACCAGAGACAGAAGATGTGGACCGAACGGCGTTTGCAAACCCAGTGTCTTCGTAAAGATTTCGCCTGTAGCTTTTGGCTCCAAACGGTGCTTTCAGAATTCTTATCGTGAAGGTCTTTAAACTCAGCTGGGACTCTTTTCTTCTCTCTTTTTTTTTCCCCGAAAGAACTCAAAGAGAGAATTCTTTAAGGGTTAGCTCATCCTTCATTCAGCAGATTTTGTTGAGCAAAATTGTAGATGGGAGCTGGGTGTCTGGGGTGGGGGCAGGGGGGTGGGTGAAGCAGGCAGGTTCCTGGCCCCAGGGAGTTTGCAGCTGGTGGGAGGGGCAGGTGGTGGTGGCCTCATGGCTATCAACAGAGCTCTGATAAGGATGGCACTGGGGCTCAGGACTGCCATCCGCCTCCCACTTAAATCCCACCTCCTCTCCTCACCTGGGGTGGTGGCTGTGTGTGGGGTCGGGGGCACTGGCCCGTGAAACAGATGCAGCACATCCCAGCCTTGAAAAGCCCTGGAGAATTGGCCCTCGATTTGGATCCTTGTTTTGCAGAGCCACAAAACACCTGGTCCCCCTTTGGAGAAGGGAGGTCGTTTCTCCTAAGGGGAAGTGGGAGGGTGAGGCTAGGGGGTTCATGAGCACTTGCTGCTGCTTGAATTTGAATCCCATGCCAGAGAGAGGCCCAGGAGGGGCTCCCAAGGCAGGGGTTACCAGCTCTGGTCCTCAGACACCCTTGGGGAATGGATGTGCACACTAAAGGTGAGAGGGCTCCCCCCCCTCGCCCCACAAAGGTTCGCATCAGTTGGTCCTTGACAAGGCCATGCAAGCAGATAAAAACAGCAAGACTTTCCTGTGCGTTGGCTGAATTTACAGTTGGGTACCCTGATGGCCTACAGGTGGGTTCTGATGAGCTCCCACAGGTGTCTCTCAGGAGAAAAACTGGAAGATGTCCTGATGCTCATGAGAAATGGAATTTGTTTGGTTAATTAACATGTGTTAAACCTGGGGGTTGTGGTCACGGTTGGAGAAGAGATAATACTGGGGGTGGGAAACATACTGGGATCCGATGGAGTAACTCTGTTTTTAACCCGGAGTTGGGTCTTTGGCTGGTTGTACACGTTGGGCAGCGAAGCTTCAGGGCAGAGAAAGGCGTTGGCTTTGTTGAGTGATGACTCACAGGGGTGCAGAAGGGAGCAGAGTGTGCCCGGCGCCGGGGCGCAGCGTGGTCCAAGGACACTGATGCGGGTCATCGGACTGAGGAAGACCCCTCCCCCAGTGAATACCGGGGGCCAGAGGGACCTCAGGGCAGACAGTGCTAGGTTGGGGTCAGAGGGTGAGGCAGCCTCCCGAAGCCGCTTCCTCGGGCAGGTGGTGGCGTGCGGGAGGAGGGACGAGAAGCCGCTGTGATCACCCAAGTGCGGCACTGGGGTTTGCGCCTCTGGTCGGCCCGGCTGCTCCTGGGTCCAAGGCAAACACGGCGTGCAGGGAGCCCGGCCGCCTCGCCTTGGCTGTAGGACTCCCCCTGGCCGGCCCTGCTCTGAAGTGTAACTTTCTCTCTGCCGCTGAACCGACCCTTTGTGACCGTGAGCCTCAAGCCAGTCCACTTGCCCAGTTGCCGTTTTCCCCGTAAGGTGCATTTCTGTTGAATCCTCCCCTCACCGTGTTCTCTTTTTCGCCCTCTGCACTCTTAAGAAGAGACATACAGCCCCAAACCCGAAACAGACGAGATGAATGAGGTGGAGGTGGCTCCCATTCCCGATGAGAAGCACGTCTGGGTCCAGCCGAGGGTGGTCAGACCCACGAAGCCCAAGAAAGCACCCGCGGTGACCTACATGAGTGAGTCGGGGCTCCGTCCTTTGCCCTCGGGCTGCCTCTGCTAGGGGGGCTGGGGGGAGGCCTGAGAGGTCTCCAGGTCAGCAAACAGTGGGGAACGGGGTTGGGGGTGGGTAGCTGCAAAAGCACAGCCCTAAGACATTTTTAAAAAAATGGTATTTTTAAGTCATTTCCAAAGCAAGCATCATAGGAGTGGTGCTTGGGTGGCGTTCTCCCCCCCTGCCCCCCGGCAGCATTTCAAGGTTAGCCCAAGGTTAGTGCCTTTCAAAGGGGGCCTGGGCTAAAACTGGGTTCCTCTGGAGGTTCCAGTGGGACGAGCATCCCCGGGGCCGGCTCTGGTGGGCTCTGGCTCTTCTTCACCACATACTGGCTCGTGACTCGGACCCCCACTGGCCTCTGTGAGACTTGGTTTGCTCATCCATACAAGGGGGCAATAAGGCCCATGTGGGGTTGCTGTGAGGATCATGTGCAGTCGTGGGGGCCACCCAGTATCAGCTCTGAGCTCCTCACCACGGTGCCCCTCGAGGCTCCTGGAGGCCCCCAGATGCAGAATGTTGTGCTCACCCCTCACCTGGCTTTCCCCTGCCCTGCACGCACGCTCACCTCGCAGCTTCCTTCTTTCTGCCCTCACCTGCCCCAGCTGGAGCGCAGTGTTCCATGTCCCCGATGTAGCCCCTTTATGGAAGGTTCGGGGCTCCGGGGGGCATTTTTATATGGGTACAACACAGGCCTGGGCTGTCTGCCTGGGATTCTCCGTGTCCCCTGAGCCTCCAGTAGCATAAAACAGGGCTCCCCCATCCCAAGCAAGGCCGAGCTCGTGCTCGTGTTTCTCCACACCCCCCCTAGTTTTTTGGGCTGCTCTGTCCCTGCCCTGCCTGACCAGTCTCTGTCCTCGTGGGCCTGACAGTGTCACTCTATCAAACCGTAACGCTATGCCAAGATTCTGATGTGTCACTAGGAAACAAGGAGAGCTCGACAGAACTCTTCTTGGCTGGAGAAGGCCTGTGAGTCCCAGCCTTCTGGAACCCTCTGGGGCTTCGGGGCATGTGGTGTGGGCCAGGCCCCCTTCCAAGGCCACACTGACTTTCTCAGTGAATGCTCACAGAAAGAGCACCCACGGCACTTGTCCCCGCTGCTCCCCTGAACCTCAGAGGAGGGGAAGGCACGCATCCAAGGTCACACGGCTACTCTGAAGGGCCGGGTCTGGGATTCGAACCTTGCAGCTGATGCCTGCAGCCACTGGGCAGTGCTTCTGCTCAGGTTATGACATGGATTCCAGGATGTTCCGGAAAGTTCGTCGGAGTGCGGGCTGGTATCTTTTACCTCAGACCGATCCCCTGTTTGTGTGACATGCGTTCTTGAACTTCTCTCCTAGCCCAAGTTGTCCGATGTGACACCAAGATGAAGGACAAGTGCAAAGGGTCCACGTGCAACAGGTAAGGTCTGGGCTGGGCCCCTCTGGCGCCTTTGAAGGGCCTGCTGCGGGTTGTGGGTCGGATCATAAGTTAGACTGACCGTGATGTCTCCGAGGTCCCTCCAACTGCCACCATTTATTAAGAGCTTGGCCCACGAAGGTGATCTGTGTCTCTCAGCCCAGAGCAGGGCTTCGGAACCTCGGCGCTCCTGACACTTAGGGCCGGATGATTCTCGGTGGCGGGGCTGTTCTGTGCCCTGGAGGGTACTGAGCAGCAGCATTCGGGCCTCCACCCACTGGATGCCAGGAGCACTGCCACCTCCAGCTGTGATGACTAAAAATGGTGCCAGAAATTGCACCCCGCCCCCGGCCTGGAGGGGTAAAATCACCCCCAGGTGGTAGTAACCTTTGACTAGGGAGTTGGCCCAGGCTCTGGGTCTCCGTTCACCTGGACATATATTGCAGTTAAGTGTTTCGTCCCCAGTGGGGAGGAGGGGCCCGAATCATGGATGCTGTAGACATAGAGACCTCACGAGGTGTGTGTGGAGAGGGTCACAGAGTGGCCCGGGGTGCTGTGCAGGGGACGTTAGGGCGGGCCCACTGTATAACCTGATCTTCCCAAAGCTGGAGGAAGACCTGCCCGGGTGTTCCCCGGTAGTCGAAGGAGGTCAGCTCGCTGATGGACCCACTCAGCATTGTCCATTCAGACGTTGCAGAATGGTTGCCAAGAAGGGCGGGTTTGGTTTTGGCCGGGCAGCTGCTAGGCTGCTCTTTCCGGCAGCAGAGGGCCAACATGTGCGGTGGCCTCACGCAGAGCCTCGGGCTCACGGTCGGAAAACCATGTCCGCGGTAGAGAGCGGTCCTTACTCCTCTTCCTCCGCCTTCTGGGAGCCGTTCCTCTAAAGGTGAACCGTGCTATTTACAAGAGAAGGTAGCAGCTCCCACTTCATGCCACGGGGCATTGGAATTTGGTTTGCCAGGAGAGCGCCCCCCTTGGACCCTGGCAGGAGTGTCCAGAAGCTGACTTGGAGCGACCCGGGCCGAGGTCGCTCGAGGGCTGGCGCATCCCACAAGCAGCTGGCCGGCATGTACTGCAGAAGTAAAAGCAGCCAGCTTACTGGTGAGATCAGCAACATGTGGCACCGAGGGGTGGTGGCTTACCTGTCCCCGTGCACGGCTCCAGGGCATCTGGAACGCAGAGTGGTCCCGTCGTGATGACGTGCCTTTCTGTATTTCTGTACCATAAGCTGGAGAGGAGAGCATCACCCCTGAGCAGTCAGTGGGAAGAAATTATAAGGCTCGGAGAACATCCATCAGATAGCACTGAGAAAATTCCAGAGTCGGGGGTAGCTGGGACCCCCCCGCAAGCAGGGAGAAGGACTATTCGAGGCCTCTGGTCAAGACCTGTAACTCCCCCACCTGCAGACTCAAGCATGTCCACAGCCTGTCTCCTCGAAGGCAGCCCATAAATAAAATAATATTTACTGGGCCTGTTTCCCCCACTGACTTTAAAAGGTATTCTTGTTCATGGTAAGTAATTCAGGAAAACAACACTACCACCAAAGTTTAAAGGAAAAATAGATAAATAAATGTCCTTGATATCCGTGGCAATTTGATGTAGTCCCTTCCCTTGTGCTTTCTGTGCACTGTGGGGTTGTGCGTGATGGTTTTCATTTAAGATTTTCCAAAGTCAAATATTTTTTTTTTAAAGGTTTTATTTATTTGACAGAGAGAGACACAGCGAGAGAGGGAACACAGGCAGGGGGAGTGGGAGAGGGAGAAGCAGGCTCTCCGCTGAGCAGGGAGCAGGATGCAGGGCTTGATCCCAGGACCCTGGGGATCATGACCTGAGCCAAAGGCAGACGCTTAACAACTGAGCCACCCAGGGGCCCCCAAAGTCAAATATTTTTAAAAGACTTCATTTCTAAGGGAAATTCCTTTGATAGTGCTGGCTTATTTCTAGTTTTTCACGATTATAAGCACTTGGAATAACACATGGGTCTGACTTTCCAACCTCTGGCTTGGGTTATACGCTCACAAGGAAAGTTCAAGAACGGGAGGATATGAATTTTTAAGGCTTTCTGGAAAGATTAATTTATGCATTTCATGGGCAGGAGCATCATCATTGGATTTTATTCTATTTAAAAAAAAAACAACAAACCCTTGCAGTTCGACACCTAGAAAGAGGCATCTTCTTTCAAGTTGTATGTTCTTTGATGATGGATGTTTGAGGATTTTTTTTTTTTTTTTTGGTGCCTTTAAAGCCACGTTTCTTTCTTCTGTGAATTGTCCTTCTATTCGCATCTCTGCCTTCAACACGAATCTTAAACACGGGAAAAGAAGGTCAGGTTGAATCTGGAATGGTGTTGGTGTGAACTCCAGCCTGGGTAAATCGCGACTTGCTTGGACACCGTGGATTTTGCGTCACCAAAGCTTCTCTCTGATGTAATAGTAGAGCTCTTGAAGGAGACGAACTCGGATGAATTCCTGGTGAGATTCCCTCACCACGTTCATCTCTGAAAACCGTCTGCTTTCTCCTCCATCAGGTACCAGTGCCCTGCAGGCTGCCTGGACAGCAAGACAAAGGTCTTCGGAACTCTGTTCTATGAAAGTGTAAGTGCCCTGTGTGGACGCCTGTCGTGCACTTGTAATTTGTAAGGGAGGCTGGGGGTTTTCACACGACGGGATTTTCTTTCCACCCTTCAGTCCCAGAGCCAATCCGCGCCTATCTCTGGGCGCACAGACTAGTAAAGCCACTTTGGGGACCTGGGGCTCACCCTCGTGAAGGTCAGTCTCCGTCCTAGACAGAGCGTTAACATGCTCCACAGGATGGGGAGAAAGGGCTGTTTGTCACTGCTCTTAGTTTGTAAGGCCCCTTGGATGAGTTTTCTGAGATAAGCAACCCCGGGAACAAAGACATGTTCTAGGGAAAGGTGAGTCAGAAGTGGGGTGAGATTTGGCCAGACGTCTCGGCTTTTTGTGGGTTGAGGACAAACACCCCGGTCATTTCAAAAGAAGCCTGAACAAAGATGAATTCAGATGTACTTATGGTGCCCCGCTCCCTGCCCCCAGTCGTCCAGCATATGCCGGGCCGCCATTCACTACGGAATCCTGGACGGCAGAGGTGGCCTGGTGGACGTCACCAGGAACGGGAAGGTCCCCTTCTTCGTCAGGTCTGAGAGGAATGGCGTGGAGTCTTTGAGGTAACTACTCTGGGATGGAGGATTCCTTAACACTTTTTTTTTTCTGGTTATGAAACTATTGTCAAAATTTCGAAAAGCACCAAACAATATAAAGAAGCAGGGGAAAAAAACTATAAAGATGAACTTAACTCCGTAGCTCAGAATTTATCCCCCGCAGACGATTTACCATCTCTCCCCTGAGTGGGTTTTCCTGTGTTTCATTTGGGCCGAGTTTTGACCCTTGCTTTTCTTCCCATCCTTAAGTTTATAGGTTTATTCTTGATGAGCATTTTTTTCTTTCTGGAGAATGAGGCTTTTCATTTCTTAAATATATTGACTTTTTTTTTTTTATTGGCAAGATTCTGTTTTTCGGGTAAGGTCTGCAGATGGATGCAGGGCAGGCCGTCCTCCCCATCCTGACTTTCTGGGGAGCGGTGGGGGAGGCCACGTCGTGGTCTCTCTGTAGAGTGGGAGGCATGAAGGAACCAGGGAGCATGGAGCCCAACGGTGGCCAAAGAGACCTGGTTCTTTTCTCACTAACCCCGCCCCCCCCGCCACGCCCATGACCTTGGGGCAGTTTCTTCATCCCTTCTGGGTGCAGCACCTCACTTGTTAAAGAGGGCCCTGGTAGGACCCAGGGCTGACACCCAGCTAGTCCACAGAGCTACCGCCAGCCAGTTTTTTACATGATGCAACTCTCCCGCCATTGCTAGGAAAGCTCTGTTACCCAGAGACCTGAGAACGTGCGCCGCCCCCATGCCCAGGAGCCCCCGCCCCATCCAGGATCTAGTGCCCAGCCCAGCAGGGACATTGGGGACCCTGCCTCAGCTCCCTACAGCCTTGGGCCATGGCGCATGGCCTCAAGAGAGCTTCCCCGTGTCAGTGCCCATCCCAGGGTCTGCAGCAAGGACCACGGTGACCAGAGCCCCTGTGTGTGTTCCAAGGAGCTCCACTCAGGACATTTCAGAAACCACATGAGTCATTCCCCTTTGAAAGGCCTGCTTCTTCAAGAGGTCTTGCAAAATTCCCTCTTCATCTTAGCTAGGGACTCGGGGGTTGTGTAAACACGAGCAAGGAAGTCTAAACGGAAGCAAAGAACATATTCTCGGAGACCGAGTGACCTAACGCGGGCCACGCAAGGCTCAGCATGGGCACCAAGGGCTCAGCGGGCTGGCGGGGTGTGGGCCCCGCGTGGCCCGACACGCTTGTCCTGGAGCCGCTTCTGGGCCCTCCCAGCGGCCAACTTTGTGTCTGGAGCAGGGTTCTTCGTGTTTTAGGGAGTCTGCAAACATTGAAACAAAGCAAATCAAAGCTTTATTTTCTCTAACCTCTAATTGAAATGTAGTATTTCCTGCCGGTATGAATGTTGGCCCCAAACCAGAGTAGCATTAGCAGGGCCAGCGACTCTCTCACTGGGAGAAATCTCGTTGCTGCAGACATCTGAAAACACGGTTTCTGCCATCATTACCCTGAAAGGATAGTGGTTAGAAGACTCGCCTCTCGATCGTGTGTTTACTGCATTCACAGGGAACCACAGCTATTGCAAAGTTATTTTAATACTTGGATATCAGTGTCACTAATAACTGGATCCCTGTTTATCTTTTAAATTTATTGTATGCATTTTAAAGTCATTATTCTGAGAAGGGGTCCATAGGCTTCCCCAGCCTGCCAGAGGGGTTCTTGGCACAGAGAAGGTTAACAAGCCCCACTCTGGAATGGGCTTTCAGGCTGATGGGAAATGAGTAGGAAAATATAAAGTTGAGGCTGAAAATAAAACGCAAGAGCAATCTTGAACTTTTAGAAATGATGTTTGCATTTACCTCATGTTTTCTTTTCCAGCAAATACAAGCCTTCCAGCTCATTCGTGGTATCAAAAGTAAAAGGTAAGCTGGCCAGTCATTTTTTATGTGATCGTAATACACAGGTTAGCTTGGGTTTCCCTGGAGGTTTCATTTTCCTTAGCTATTGATTGAATGTGTTCGATGTCTGTTAGTATTGCTGTTCTCAGCACTATAAAGGTTTTTTAAAGGGGTTCCTGACGAAGTCAATTCTTTAACTACTTTCTAAACATATCTGAACTTGATATTGGCCCTAAATTGCTACACCAGAAACAGGACCAGGGCTCCCAGCTGAGTGTCGCAGAAATACTAATGCCTGGGTCTAGAGTACCTGATAGGGAGAGTCCCTTTCTACTGGTCGACACTAGCAGCTGGAGCCCTGTGTTGAGAAGGGTGCTGAAGCCCCATTCTTGGCTCATCAGAAAACAGGGCTTGGTAGACCAGTAATGTCAGCCATGAACATCAAAGGGAAACATGAGGAAGCCTGTGGCACATACTTGGCCATCTCTGGCCTAGTTTTTCTATTGCCTGTATTTTATATTGCCTATGTATTTGCCTATTGCCTAGGGCATATTCATTTGGCAGGGTGGGGTGCATCCATGGGAGAGCATCCTATAAGCAGAGGTGGAGCTGTGAATTCTGGTTGCCCAGACTTGGCACTTGACTGGAAGTTTCAGGCAAGTGGAGATGCGGGGGGACCCTGCCCAGCCCCTTCCTCAGGAAATTGACCTACAGACCCTTCCTTTCCTTTGGGAAAGCAGTTCTTGTCGTCATAGGCCCTGGATGCAGGAATATCTAGTTAGATGTCTTTATAAAAACATGTAGCAGCTTTTTTTTCCATTTTACAAAAATAATGCCTATTTATTCCAGATAATTTAAAAATACAAAGAAGCATTAAAAAAAAAAAAAAAAAGGGATTTGGCCCAGATTCCACCACTCAGAGATAACATTGTGAACATTTTGGTGGATACCTTTGTAGTTTATTTTCCCTATGATTAACAGTATTTGTATTGGTAATACATTGATACACTTTTTTTTTTTTTAAAGATTTTATTTATTTATTTGACAGAGAGAGACACAGCGAGAGAGGGAACACAAGCAGGGGGAGCAGGAGAGGGAGAAGCAGGCTTCCCGCGGAGCAGGGAGCCCAATGCGGGACCCGATCCCAGGACCCTGGGATCATGACCTGAGCCGAAGGCAGACGCTTAACGACTGAGCCACCCAGGCGCCCCCATTGATACACTTTTAAAAATTGAAATAGAATTACGTAAATTTGGTCACCGGATTTTTTAAAAAAAATAATAATGTATCAGGAAGATACTTCTGTGCCTTTAAGTGGTGTTCTCAACCTAATTTTAATGACCTCCCCTGCCTTCCATTGTATAGCGTCCCGTGGTATATAGAACCAATCCCCTTCGTTGGATTGCTACATAGATCCCTGGCCCATCCAAATGATAGGCTGGACCAGGGGTTGTCGAAAACAATCACCCTCAGGGGCAAATCCTTCCTGCCGTCTGTCTTTGTAAATAAAGTTTTATTGGCACACAGTTGCACCCGTTCATTTACACGTCCTTGTTAGCTGGTTTCTGCTACAACAGCAGAGTTGAGTAGTTGCAACATAGTCCATAGGGCCACAAAGCCAGAAATATTTAGCCTCTGGCCCTTTAGGAAAAGTTTGCCAAGCCCTGGACTAGCTGAGGACATGCTCTCAGAGACCACAGGTGGCCAGTATTAGAGCCACTTTCTTACCTCTGTTGTTAAAAACAAGTGACCTTGAAGAAGAGCTCTAGACCCGACATCAGAAACCCAGCCTCCCGCCACGTCCCGTGCGGACCCAGGGTGGTCTCCGGCCTTTGGGCCTCTGCTTCCTCCTCTGTATAATTAGAATAATACTTGCCATGAGGAGAAGGTAGGGGAGCAAATAAAAGGTATCATTGGTCCCTTGGAGAAACTACTGAGGGTGATAACATTCCTGAGCTGTAGACACACTCAGGCCATGGGGCTTCTCATCCCTTGAGGGCCCGGAGGTGAGGTGCCCGCGGCGCCAGGGCTCGGCACCTGCTGGCTTCTCATCCCACCTCAGTTCAAGGATCCCATGAGCCCCGAGGACCTGGTTGTCCGAAGGGCCGTCTCACAGGTTGGAGGCCTGAGACCCAGGCTTGCCAACGACCTGACCGTTTCCCGCCATGTTTCTGTCCCCAGTGCAGGACCTGGACTGCTACACCACTGTTGCTCAGCTCTGCCCGTTCGAGAAGGCGGGGACCCACTGCCCCAGGTAAGGCTCACTGGCATCTGGCTCTGCAAACAGAGGGGTGGGGAGAAGGAGGCATCGTGCTGAGTTGGGGGTCATGTCATGCGGCGAAGCACAACCGAGTTCTAGGTGCGGCCCCTTTGTGCGGGCACTCCGAAAACCGACCGCTTTGTGCTCAGAACCACACACCCGCTGGACCTCTCCCTCGACCTCTGGTTCTCAACCCTGGCTGTGGGGTGGGAGTGTCTGAGGGGCATCAACAGGTCAGATTCCCGGGGCCCCCGCCCAGACCACTGGGATCTGAGTCTCGGGGAGTGGCCCAGCGGGACATCCCCGTAATAGCTTCATGGTGCCATTTGTCCCCTTTAAAGCAGCTCCTTGATTCTTGTGCCCCATCTGCGGCATCTTCTCTGGGTCACGTTAGAACCGGCTCATTGTGCCCCAGCTTTTCTGAGGTGTAACTTGCACACGATAAAATCCACCCACTGTAAGTGTACAGTTCGATGAGTCTTGACACACACAACCCGTCAGGCCGCCACCACCACAATCGAGTGTCCGTCATGCCAGAAAGTTGCCTTGAGTCACCCTTCTCCCTCCGCCTCCCACCCACGTCCCTGCCAGCCACTGGTCTGCGTGCCATCACTATAATTTTCTAGCATCTCACGTAAACGGAGCCGTCATAGGGTGTGGACTTTTGTGTCTGGCTTCTTGCCCTCCGTGTAATGCTTCTGAGATCATCGGTGCTGCGAGCCCGTCGCTGGTGCCTTCCCTCTTGTGGCCCTGCGGGGTTCTGGTCTGTGCACGGACCACAGTCTGTCTGAGGAGAAGGTCTTACATGCGTCTACGCAAACCTTAATTGGCTGATTTTTGGAGGGTGATGCATCAGGACGTAAAGTGACATTTGGTAACATCTGCCTCTCAAGTACCTGTTAGGTCCTCTTGGAAGCTGTGAACCCTTCTCCTGGGCCTCGAGGCCTGTGGATTTTCCTACAGGCTGACCTTAAAACTAACATGTGGACACCCGCGAGATGTGAGCAAGGAAGAGCCCCAGGAGGGTGCCAGTGAGGGACAAGACCCTGGGCGGGGACCCCGGCTCCCCCCCCGCGGCTCACATTTCTCCTGGGGCTTTCTCACGGCTCCCACTGTCACCACCATCACCACGCTGATCCCCTTTGAATGTTCAATCAGGGATGACAACCTTTTATTAAGTATTAAATAGCTAACCCAAATCTCAAAGAGAAGCAGAAGGAAATTACGTCAGAAAACACAAATGAACAACAAAAACTTGACATACTGCAAGTATAGAAAATACAGGTTTCTGACCTGCCATTCTCAAAAAAGTAGGAAAGGATTTTCTTGCCCAGATTCTTTTTTAAAATCTCACGCAGACAGGGGCGCCTGGGTGGCTCGGTCGGCTGAGCGTCTGCCTTCGGCTCAGCTCATGGTCCCAGGGTCTTGGGATCGAGCCCCGCATCA